CATAAATTGGGAGAAATATAGATATATAGATATTTTAAGTTGCTAATTATTGTGAGTTATAGTACGTTTTATGTAATTTTCATATATATTACTCGCTTTGTCCTAATTTATGTGATACAAATGAAATTTCAAAAGTCAATGAATTTTTTATAAGTTTTTTTTATATTAACTTGTTAATTATTGTGATTTATAATATATTTACGTAAAACATACTCTAAATAAAAATAATTAGCAACTTAAAATATATAAAAACATACTAAAAAATTGATTAACTTCAAATTTCATATGTACCACATAAATTGAAACAGAAACAGTAACATATATTGGGCCCCGTGCTGGCACGGGGTCCATATCTAGTTACATATATAGTACTCTACTCAATGACAATGAGCACGAACAATTTATTTAAATTGTTTCACTTGACATTAAAAAAACTAGGGTACATAACCAAGAAGAAAATACATTGTAAATTACAATACAAACATCATAATAAAGTACAATTTCCTCACAATCACTACAATTCTAATGATGAATTGATAGTGTTTTTATTCTTGATAACACACACACACACACCATGCATACATTAATTTTGTTATTGATTGAATTAAGGCTTAGGAGGGCAGGCCCCTGTGCGCCAGCAGAAGCAATAACGACCCAAGCCTTTTGTAATGCACTGACCTTTGGTTACCTTTGAAATCTCATCTCTGCAACGTTTTACACAATACTTGCTAGACAAGCAAAACCTCGAACGATATAAATGGCTTTGCCATCGGCAAGTTTTCCCCTCAACACCTTCCATCTCTGCATCCAACAACAACAATTTGTTTATCCTTTCCGTTTCAATTTGTTTATCTGATTTGACTTTGACACAGAGTTTTGGGAAATCAAATTTGAGTAAAGTTTCAACATATGTTTGACCTCAGTTTTTAAAAACTTACTCCACTTTATTGTAAAACAACATGAGAAATTATGTAAACAAACATTTTTTAATAGAAATTATATGGAAAGTGTTTTATTTTTAATACACTAAATCAAAACTACAAAATAAATATTTTTCGCGTAAATTATGCAAGTATTACTAATACATTCTATTCAGCATTCTTAGGAAAAATTACCTAAATACACATCTTATTTTATCATAATATCTAAAATTCTCTATCATCTAAAAAATTTCAAAAATCCCCTTTCGGATACATCACTCTCCTCTCGTTGATACATCCTCTCAGAAACTGAGATACATCCCTCACTATATATGTATCCAAATGTCCAGTGATGTATCTGGAAGTCTAGTGATGTATCAGGAAGTCCAGTAATGTATCCGAAATCCATAAATTTTAAGGGATTTTTGTAATTTGAAAAAGAGTAGGAAAATAGTGTAACTAGTTGTTAACACTATGGGATTTATGTAAATTATATTATTCTTATACACCCTGCAAAACGACTCATAAGTGTGCAAAGGGATAGTTAGCCTTAACTACAAAAGGGTTAACAACCATCGTGAATTAGTAAATATTTTAGGATGAATCCTCTCAATTCTATTTGATATACTAGTTAATTGTAATTTTAGTTATATTTATATATATATATATAGAGAGAGAGAGAGAGCAAAATGGATGGTGAACACAAGACATAACTATAAAATGAAATGACAAACAAATTAAGATGTACAAACCATTGGATGATATGAGGAGGAAGCATAAGAGGAGAGCAAGGAAGGTTGTGTAGTTCACTAGTGACTTTGCCATACTTTGGATGTAATTATTTGATCTTTCTATTTTCTTTGAAGTAATTTGTGTGTTGAAACTATTTAGTGAAGCCAAATATTTATAGCAAGGCCTTACAATTTATTTAATAGTTTAGTCAATTGTTCCAATATAATTAAGCAACTTGTTGGCTATTTTAAAGAAGAAAGGAGTAGTTTAAGGAATGAAGCAAGGGATATTATAATATGATATATTAGTTAAATATTTCATACTTTTTTGCGTTTTTCTTTAAACGTAGAACATGGTAATGGTATGCACAAAAGAGTTGACTTGACATCAAAATATTATAACCACCTTATATATTTGATTTATTAATAAAAGGGAAGCGACAGAACTATATAAAAGTTGTTTTCCTTTAGGATTATAAAATGTTTCTCGAGAAACAACGTATCGTTTCCTCACAAAAAAAGAAAGAAAACGAATGACAGTTTCTTTCTTCCCTCTCCTTCTTCCTTCTCCAATTTCGGTAAAGTTTGTGTGAAGATTCTTTACGATTTCTTCTCCGAAAAATATTGGAACAAATCTGTAATAAGGTGTGATTTTAGATTGTAAGATGTAGTTCGTGTTTATATACACATGATTCTACTAATTGACTTGTGAAACAATATTTAACGATCCTGCAAAACTAAGTGCTTGATTAAATTCTTCAACTTTACCTCGTTTACAATACTATAAATACTTTTGATAAGTTACATATTTGATACCTCTTTGTTCCTCATAGTACAAACAAACTGAATTGACACTCATATACTTTCCTTGGTTAAGTTTTATTTGACATGGCTAATTTGAATTAGATTAATTTAATATTTTAAATTTTAAATTTAGATGTTTGAAAACTATATGGAAATAATTAGAAGTTGCAATCATTTTTCAGATTAATATGAGAAAAAAATAATCTTAAGATATTGGTCAAAATCTACACAATTTGACTTTCAAGAAATAAATATAACAAGTAAAAGTAAATTGAGGAAGTATTTATCAGAGTAGTTGAATTATGATTATCTTGTGAAAACAATATTAGTTTCTTCTTTTTTAAATCAAAGGACGCCCCGAATTCCTTTTATGGAATATAGTCGGAAAAACTATCTAATTATACAAATATTTCTATCATAAATAGTACTAATCCACTCTATAATTTGAAATAATTACATATTGTCTCACTAATTAATAATTTTATACCAAATTTCAAGTTACATATGACAAGAATCATGCTTCCATGAGAGATATAGCTTTTGCTTTTCAAAAATCTTGTTTGCAAAAATAGGTTATTTCTTGTCAATAAAGTGACCGATATAAGATGGACAAAAATAACCTAGTGCAAAATTATTGACTGAGAACTCTACATCTCTTTTTCCGTACTCACCAACCATCACAGGTGTGACAGCTTTACAATTATTCACTTTTGAATGTCATGAACGTCTGTCGCTCATGGGATCCAGTCCCTCTACCAGATCTCATAATTTGTTAAATCATCAAAACTTAAGAATAACTAAAGCATGTTCAAACTTTCAATGAAAGGATTTAGAAAATTTATCCTAAGTTTTCTTTGTGTGGGATGAGCCTTTAAAGAGGTTGATACCACCATTCGAAAGCCAACTCAAAATAGACCTGATGAACACTTCAAAGTGAGATTTATGTTTGTGTAGATTAAACTTGTTGACAATATCTGCTTGTAATTATTAGAGTAGTTGCATGTGCTTCTTTGTTATGCTTGTTAAATTGGATTATAATTTTTTGTTACAAGAGATCGAAATTGAAAAAATTACAAAGAAGAAACAAAACAAATTACTATTTGAATTCATTTTTGTTAGAAAATGAATTATCAACATAAGGAGTAAATATTTCAACTCACACGGGAGCTTAATAATGTCATAGAACGAAATTTCAAAGGAGATATTTAGAATTCTGTTTTACATATTTGGAATTTATATATATACAAATAGTAAGTCGTCTAGATTTATTAATATTTTTTCTGTCAAATACACTTATATTATGCACTAATTTACATTTACATATATAATATATGAATTATACATATGTCTAATAGCTTAACATATATTATTTTTTATTTAAATTAATAGTTGGCTGATTAACTATTTAAACTAATTCTTTTTTAAAAATAAAGCAATTGGGTGAGCGGCTATGAGTAATTGATGAAAGATTGATTCCTTAGTATTACAGATGTTTCTAAGTCATTTGACTTTAACATTTCTTTTTCCGAATAATACTCCAAAAATTAATCAAGATTATTTAATTCTTTCTTGTTAGAGACCTTTATTTTCACACCATGCTTTATATATATATATATATATATATATGGTTTACATTATCTCGAAAGTGTTCGATACAAGAAAAAATGATTTTAAAGAAAATAAGTAATTATTTATTTATTTCAATATTAATTATGTAAGTAAAAAATATATTTAAAAGAATTTATATATAATTCAAACATATACAGAAGTAGGGTGGTAAGGCTATGGCTATGGGGTTGAGGTGCTTATAAGGTATGTCGAATATAATTAATGTGAGATGTCATTCAAGAAACTTATTTTTACTACTTTCACTATGAAAAAATTTCTGATACAGTACACAACTCTAGTGTCCATTCAACTTCTTGATTACCTTCATTCAAAGAACAACCAATTAAATATGTAAATTAATTTCACCTGTCGTGTAGCGTGTCAACTTATACATTAATTATAATGTAATACTCTCTCTGTCCCTAATTACTTGTCAACTTTTTCATTTATAGTTGTCCCTAATTACTTGTTCATTTTGACAAATCAAGAAAGAATATTATTTTTTTACCTATTATACCCTCAATTAAATGACTAATTACTTTGAAAAGTAGCAGAACTTTTCATCCACTTCATAATTAATAGGGGTAAAATGGTAAACTCACTATGTCATTAATTGATTTCTTAATAGGTGTGTCAATTCAAAAGTGAACAAGTAATTAGGGACAGAGGGAGAGGGAGTATAATGTAAAGAAATAAAGCTAAGTTTGTTTTTTATGGCATTGACTTAATAGTTCATGTGTTTGGTCTCCCATACACCACAAACAAAGATTTAATTAAATTGAGAGATGAAACAAAGTAAAATTATATTCTGAGCACAACTAAATATAACATATATATACTTAAAGAAAAAAGACAATTAAGTGGAAATAAAATATCTGGATTTATCTAAGATCTAGTACGTTTGATTCTCATTTAACTCATTCTTTTCAATTTGGTTATCTAGTCTACTAAAAACACCTAAAAGGAAAGTAACGTAGATTAAAAATTATTTGGAGAAACGATAAAGTAATAAACAATACACTTAAGTATCAATTGTTAAGCTCAAATTAAAATAGCATGTCTTTCAATATGAAGGATTGAAGGTTATGCTTCTTTTATAGGGGTGAATTACGCACTTAAGGTTTACTAAAACTTCATGTTCAACTTTACTTGTTATAATTTTAAAAATTAAGATATAATTTATCACGTTATTCTTAATTTATTCTTATTATTAACTATACTCATAATTTAACATAAAATTTATTATATTCAAAGCATAATACAGTAAACTTGTCATTCACATATCAAAATGGATGGAGGGAGAACTAATTGGAGGCTCATTTTAAGCCTTAAAGTTTGTAAAAACATGATATATTTTGATGGAATTCCAAAATGTATCATATAAAAGTTATTGACATGTGGAATTTTTATTTGATACATTCAATTTCTAAATTTTATTTTCATCAATTTTAAATGTGGAATTTCGTCCACCAAATTTCAGCTAATCCAAGTCATTATATTTAGGGATAAGGGTCTGAAAAATACCCTAACTTTGGTCGAATTTGTTGTTGTGGTACTAAACTTTCATGAGGACCTATTACCTCCCTAGGACTATTTAATACTGTATTTTAAACATATATATTTGCCCACGTGGACATAAAAAATAATGCAAAATTATAAATAGTAATGTGTCCACGTGGGCACATATATACCTTTAAAATACACTATTAAATAGTTCAGGGGGTAAAAAATACGGTATTAAATAGTCTAGGGAGGTAATAGGTCCTCATGAAAGTTTAGTATCGCAATAGCAAATCTGACCAAAAGTTGAGGTATTTTTCAGACCCTTATCCCTTATATTTATTTATCTATTTATCAAAATCAAGTTTGAAATCAACTTAAGTGTATGCCTTTTGAAATCCACCAAATTTACCGATTTCCTTTGTTGGTGGTTGGAAACCCCAGAAAAAAATTACATTAGAATTTAGGGTGTGTTCGTTACGGAGGAAAATATTTTCTAGGAAAAGAATGGTGTTTTTCTTTTGCTTATTTTCTTATGTTTGTTATATAAGTAAAATATCAACCAAAAAATATTTTTATATAATTTAGACAAATATTATAGAGTGCAAGCGGAGGTAGAGATGTGGGGTGGTGGGAATGAAATGTATTAGATAGTGAAGACATCAATGTGGAATATCACTTTTAAAATTTCAGAAAACTTTTTGGTAGTGACTTGAAAATTCCTAGCCTAGTCTAGATTTTGAGGAAATCGGAGTCAATGAGGTCTAGGGAATCTGGTAACAAATGAGAGATCTAATAATTAATTTGATCACATGAGTGAATATCTAAGACGTTAATGAACCCGTACGACTTTACGAAATTAAATTCGGGCGAGTAGAACTCCCGAAACTGATCTTAGCGTGAACGAGTAGTTTCTGAGTGTCATGGGTTGAAGGTGTGTTTGTGAAATGGGGGTTTGAAACTCTAATTTCGAGGTTCTGTCTCCGTGTAAGCTGCCAGGGCGGGATTATTCCAACCAGGGCGGGGCAGCTGTGGCGGGATGGGGACCGCCATAGCGGGTCAGTCGCGAATTAAGTCGAAAATAAACCCCAAAAACATCTTTATTCTGCAAACTTCGTTCTTGAGAGCTATGAGACGACCCCATGTGTTTTCTTGACAGTTTCTCACCATTCTTGAAGCTAAAGGTAAGGTTTTCACTCCCTGAATCCGTTTTTCGATCCGT